GGGATGAACAAAGGCTTTGGGGCTGTCCGTCTGTCCGTGGCCGTGCTGTGACAGCTCCTGGCACGGCTCTGTCGCGGCTGGGGACAGGGGACAGCAGGTACCGGCTCAAAGGGCCGTGCTGCTCTCCCAGCTGCCGCTGCCGGGCCTTTCCAGGCCGGCTGCTTTTTTAATTCAGATTTTTGATCCCATAATGAGTAACGAGCACCGCCCGGGGGCTCAGCCGAGGGATGGCAGCCGGTCCCTGCCACGGGCACACGCCAGCTGTCCCCTCGCTGGGGAGGGGAGGGGAGGGGACAGCCCGGGCGGGTCCCTCCTGCCCCGGGGGCTGCGGGCCGGTGGCAGATGCGAGGCAGGGCCAGCACCAGGCTGGTGGGCAGAGCGGCCGGGGCTCATTTGCACATCAAAAGCGGCTTTTTGCTCCCCAAACCCGGCCCTGCGAGCGCGGGGTGGCTCCGAACAATTCCCCGTCCCAGGCAGCGTCGCGGAGGAGGGGTAGGGGCTGGGGTTGGGTTTGGGTTCAGGTTCGGGTTTGGGTTCGGGTTTGGGGCTGGCTCTGCCCCGCACACAGCCAGACACGCCTGCGGTGCCACCGGCGCGTTTAAAGGAGATGCAAATCGGCTTTTCTCCGCTCCGGGCTGATTTGCATGCGCTCATTACGCTCATTAGCGCAACGATCGCGCTGCTCCCGCGGCAGCTGGAGCGGGGCTGAAAGCAGATCCTGGCATCCTTTTAATTTATGTTTTGTATTTGATATCTCATTCTCTCATGTCTAGTAAATACAAATCTGTCTTTCACATTCAAAATGAGAAAGCATTTGTGTGTATGTGTTCTGCAGTTTTTGACGCCTAATTAAGACTGTACTCAGGCTTATCGCTTCCTGTGGTGGGGTGTCTCTCCTCTGCTGAGCTTCCTATTTCCATGTAAACTTGTAGAAGCATTGTATCTTTGTGACTTCAGACTCTTAAAATTAGCAAATGGAATCAAAAGCTATTAGCATGAAATGGGTAAGATCAAAAGAAGTGTAGCATTGACTGCATAAACCTTTCATAGGAAATTGGGCTAAAACTGCAGAAGACAGATTCACTGGTACATTCAACAGGTGCTGTCCTGGCAAAAGAAAATTCTCCTTTGGGAGAAGACTATGTAGGGAATATCCAGGGCCCAGGTGTGAGCTGTCAGCACAGAAAAACTGGCCATGTGTGCTATCTTTTGCACTTTTGCATTTACTTTTCCATCCAGCTCAGAAAGAAGGGCAAACTGTCACCCAGCTGAGAGATTTTTTTGAATGAAAAAGCTATTCAAGCCTCCAGCAGGAGAGAGATGAGACTAAGATATTGCAGCCATGCACAGTGATGTCTCTACACTCTCTCTGCCTAACAGAGCTCTCCAATAGCAGTATGGCTAAGAATGCTCAAAAATCTACAAAATAAATGGGCATGGTTTTTTTAAACCATGAATGACCAAGTCAAAGCTGGAAATGAACCAACCAAACCTAGGAATGGCAAATGTGGGAATGAGCAAACCTGGGCATGACCAAATCAAACCCAGGAACGAACAAACTAAACCCAGGAATAGCAAGCCCAGGAATGACTAAGTCAAACCCAGGACTGACCAAACCAGGAATGAACGAATCAAACCTAGGAACGGAAAACGTGGAAATGAACAAACCCAGGAATGGCAAACCCAGGAATGCCCAAACCAAACCCAGGAATGGCAAACCCAGGAATGCCCAAACCAAACCCAGGAATGGCAAACCCAGGCATCAACAGCCCAAACCCAGCTTTGGTTCTGCTCTCCGGCGCCCCTGGGGCTCAGCACAGCGTTTCCCCCGAGCTGCTCAGTGCTGTGGGATGAACAAAGGCTTTGGGGCTGTCCGTCTGTCCGTGGCCGTGCTGTGACAGCTCCTGGCACGGCTCTGTCGCGGCTGGGGACAGGGGACAGCAGGTACCGGCTCAAAGGGCCGTGCTGCTCTCCCAGCTGCCGCTGCCGGGCCTTTCCAGGCCGGCTGCTTTTTTAATTCAGATTTTTGATCCCATAATGAGTAACGAGCACCGCCCGGGGGCTCAGCCGAGGGATGGCAGCCGGTCCCTGCCACGGGCACACGCCAGCTGTCCCCTCGCTGGGGAGGGGAGGGGAGGGGACAGCCCGGGCGGGTCCCTCCTGCCCCGGGGGCTGCGGGCCGGTGGCAGATGCGAGGCAGGGCCAGCACCAGGCTGGTGGGCAGAGCGGCCGGGGCTCATTTGCACATCAAAAGCGGCTTTTTGCTCCCCAAACCCGGCCCTGCGAGCGCGGGGTGGCTCCGAACAATTCCCCGTCCCAGGCAGCGCCGCGGAGGAGGGGTCGGGGCTGGGGTTGGGTTTGGGTTTGGGTTCAGGTTCGGGTTTGGGTTCGGGTTTGGGGCTGGCTCTGCCCCGCACACAGCCAGACACGCCTGCGGTGCCACCGGCGCGTTTAAAGGAGATGCAAATCGGCTTTTCTCCGCTCCGGGCTGATTTGCATGCGCTCATTACGCTCATTAGCGCAACGATCGCGCTGCTCCCGCGGCAGCTGGAGCGGGGCTGGAGCAGAGCAGGGACCCCCGGCCCGGGCCATGCTCCGGCTGGGCTCGTTCTCCCGTTTGCCCCCCAAAAACCTGCCTGACTCGTGCTGAGCCTGCCCCCAAGGGAGCTCTGGCTCCAGAGAATGATTTTCTCCTGGGATTATCCGGTCTTGCTGCTCCTTGCTGCTCTGTCTCCTGCAGGAGCAGGGTCCCATCTGTGCTGGGGCTCTCCCAGGACAGGAACATCTTACATCCTGGTGTTCTCCCAGGAGCATCTCACATCCTGGTGCTCTCCCAGGACAGGAGCAGTTCACACCTTGGTTCTCTCCCAGGACAGGAGCAGTTCACATCCTGGTGTTCTCCCAGGAGCAGTTCACATCCTGGTGCTCTCCCAGGACAGGAGCAGTTCACACCTTGGTGCTCTCCCAGGACAGGAGCAGTTCACACCCTGGTGCTCTCCCAGGAGCAGTTCACACCCTGGTGCTCTCCCGGGACAGGAGCAGTTCACATCCTGGTGCTCTCCCGGGACAGGAGCAGTTCACATCCTGGTGCTCTCCCAGGACAGGAGCAGTTCACATCCTGGTGTTCTCCCAGGACAGGAGCAGTTCACATCCTGGTGCTCTCCCAGGACAGGAGCAGTTCACATCCTGGTGCTCTCCCCTGCCAGGTTTGTGCCAAGGCTGGCACAGCTCAGCCGCAGTTTCAGGAGGGGTTTGCTGCAAAAGGGGCAGGATCGTCACCTGCTTTTCGGGAGAAGCAGCCCAGGGCCCTCAGGGCTGGGATTTTGGGTCTCCACGGATGAGGTTTTGGCTTCCCTGGGCGCTCCTAAGAATTCCCTGGGGTGTTTGTGCCCTCAGGGGTGCTGCTGTCCCTCCTGGCCCTGCCCTGGCTCCTCCTGGTGCTGCTGAGCTGGGCTGTGACCTCTGAGGGACAGAGATGTCCCCTGGGAGTTCTCCCGGGCAGAACTGAGAGCCCAGGGCTCTCCTTGCTGCTGCCTTGCCCGGATTCCTGGGAAGGAAGGGCTGGGAAGGGCTGGGGTGCCTGTGACAGGAGGGACCCCCAGGGCACAGAGCCCTCATAGGATTTTCTGTCCCTTCCCTCCCCAGCAGTTCCAAAATAAACTAAAAATAAATAAACTCTAAAAATCAATTTCCCTCGCTCCTGGGGTAGCAGGAGCACAGCCAAATTTCCCTGGAAAGCAGCAGCAGGTGCCAGGTGCCTTTTTGGGGTGCCCAGATCCACCCCCTGCCCCATGGGTGCAGCCAGATGAGGCAGAATGAGCAGAGGTTCCTGAAATTGGAGAGTTTTCCCCATTTTCTGCTCCCCAAACCTCTCCCTTTACCTCCCCCCAGGCTGTTTTTTCGTGGAGTTGATTTGGTTTGGAGCAAAACAGCTGAAATAGTCAAAATACGAGCTCGGGTTTGTTCCAGCAGCCACGGGAACCTCTCCCTCGGGAATTGTTTTCCCTGGATCTCCTGAGGGTCGGGCCCTGCCTGCTCAGGGATGCTGGGGGTGGGCTCGGGGTGAGATCCAGGCCCACCTGCAGGGTCGGGGGGCTCAGGCTGGGAGGGGGCCGGGTGGATTATCCCACCCTCCCTGATCCACCCGAGCCCAATCCCTGCTTCTCCATGCTCGGGTTATCCCAGCTGCAGAGCGGAGATAACTCCAGGCTGGAAAAAGCAGGGCAGGTGCAAGGATGTCCCCAGAGGGGACCCTGGTGGGCTGTGATAAATTCTGGTGGCTCAGGCATGGAAAATCCCCAGAACGCCACCGAACGCCCACAGAGAGAGGCTGGGGAAGTTTTAAAAAATTTATTTATAAATAAAACCATAAAATTAACCAGTAGTTTACATCAGTCACCAGAAAGAACATCCAAAAAAATAATAAACAAAACCAAACAAAATAAAAAGAAAACCTGCAGAAAAATAATTCTCTGTCCAGGCCGGGACCTGGAGCGACACACCTGGAATGCAACGGGCACACACAGCGCGGTTGTGCAAAGGCAGCACGGCGAGGCCTCTGGAGATCACATCACAGAGCTGGGGACACGCCTGGGGACAGGGACAGGGACGGTGCCACCGGGAGCAGGAGCGGGGAATTGCCGCGGTGGGGCGAGGTCGGGACGGGCTCTGCTCCCTCGGCTCCGGGCACAGAGCGCCGGGCGGGGCTGTGCCGGCTTTGGGGGATGCACAAAATCCCTCCCGGCCTCGGGGGATGCACAAAATCCCTCCCGGCCTCGGGGGATGCACAAAATCCCTCCCGGCCTCGCCATCCCCGATCCTTCAGCTTTCCAAACATCTTTCGGCTGGGCAGGGTTGGGAAGGGACTGGGCAGGGCTGGGACTGGGCAGGGAAGGGACTGGGTTGGGGCTGGGCAGGGACTGGGAAGGGACTGGGCAGGGCTGGGACTGGGTTGGGGCTGGGCAGGGGCTGGGACTGGGCAGGGAAGGGACTGGGCAGGGAAGGGACTGGGTTGGTGCTGGGCAGGGACTGGGCAGGGGCTGGGCAGGGGCTGGCCCCGGGGGCACCCGCAGGAGCCTGAGGTTGGCTTTTCCAGCGTGCTGGGGGTGAGCATCGCTTGTGCCGGTGCCAGGATGGGCTGGGCAGTGCCAGACCCAGCTGGGCGGTGCCAGGACAGACTGGGCAGTACCAAGCCAGGCTGGGCAGAGTCAGGACCACCTGGGCAGTGCCAGGCGTGGCCAGGCAGTGCCAGGCCCAGCTGGGCAGAGCTGGGACTGGCTGGGCAGTGCCAGACCTGACTAGGCAGTGCCAGGACAGGCTGGGAAGTACCAGGAGTGGCTGAGCAGTGCCAGGTATGGCTGGGCAGTGTCAGGACCAGCTGGGCAGTGCCAGGACTGGATGGGCAGTGCCAGGACCAGCTGGACAGTGCCAGACCCAGCTGGGCAGTGCCAAGACTGGATGGGCAGTGCCAGGACCAGCTGGACAGTGCCAGACCCAACTGGGCAGTGCCAGGAGTGGCCAGGCAGTGCCAGACCCAGCTGGGCAGTGCCAGGACTGACTGGGCAGTGCCAGGAGTGGCTGGGCAGTGCCAGACCCAGCCAGGAGAGCTGGGGCAGTGGTTTGGTGTGCTCAGGGCCGGGCGCAGAAGGCACAGACTGGTTGGTTCCTGTGTGTCACCTTTCCAGGCTGGAGTGGCACGAGGGATGCGGAATTTTGCACAGCTAGGAGCCCATGGCCAAATTGGCAACGTTGGGATTGTGCAAGAACCCCGCCCAAGAGCCCTGGGATGGGGCAGTGGGTAAATAATTGCAGCAAAAATATCATTGCACTGGCACAGAAGGGTCTCCTGGAGCCCCCACCCCACAAACTGGGTCCTGCTGGTTCCCTCCCCAGTTAGGGGGACACGAGGGTCACCAGCAGCACCACCTCATTATCTGTGGAGCCACTCGCTGGTGGCAGGAGGAATTTTTAAGAGCTGGGGTAGAAATTAAGGTGGAAGTGTTTGGTTTGGGGTGTTTAACCAGCTCCCCTTGGCCGGATCCCACGGGATCAGGGCACAGGAGGAGATAAGGCAGCCAGGGCTCCCAGGAGGGACAGCCCTGGTGAGTGCAGGGGTGAACACAAACCCCATTCCTTGGTCAGGCCATGGCTGGGACATTCCTGTGAATCCTTGGATGCAGCTGCTGACTGGCAGCCGGGAGAAGGGACAGAGTCCTTGTCCGTGGGAGCTGGGAATGCCGGGCAGAGGGAGGGCTGTGGGTGCGGTGCAGGGGGGGCTGTGCTTGGGCTAAACAGGGATTTCAGGGTGATTTCAGGGTGATTTTGGGGTGATTTCATGGAGTGGGGCTGTACCAGGGGGGTGTGAGCAGGTGGGGACCTTCCTGAGGCCCTCAGGGCTGGCAGGGCAGGAGGTGGTTCTGTGCTCCCACAGCGCCCTGGGATCGGCACTGACGGAGGGTGAGGAGGAGTGGGAGCTTCCTCCAGGAAACTGGGGCTGATTCCTGCCACCATCGCGGGCAGGACTGTGCTGTGCCATCCTTGGAACTGGGCACACACTGGGCTGATTCCTGCCACCATCAGCGGGCAGGACTGTGCTGTGCCATCCTTGGAGCTGTGCCACCCCTGGAGCTGGGCACACATTGGGGCTGATTCCTGCCACCATCAGCGGGCAGGACTGTGCTGTGCCATCCTCGGAGCTGTGCCATCCTCGGATCTGTGCCATCCCTGGAGCTGTGCCACCCCCGGAGCGGGGCCAAGCCGGGTTCCCCAAGCCTGGAGCAGAGCATCCCCTGGGCGCTGGGCACGGATGGCAGAGAATTCCCTGGAGTCCTGATCCCTGCCCGGGGGCAGAGGGGGCAGTGCCGGGGCGGTGCCGGGGCGGGGGAGCTGCGGGCACGTCACCATTGGCACGAGTGGCTTGGTCACCTCTGGAACACGACGGAGGGACAGGGGGGACACGGCTCAGCTCGGCTGCGGGGCGGGGCCGAGCGGCTCGGGAGGGGACAGCAGCTCAGATCTCGGTGGCGATGATGTCCTCGTAGGGGACGTCGGCGCCGGGGATCTCCAGCTCGATGGGCTCCTTGCCGTCCTCGCCCGCCGCCAGCTGCTGCAGCATCTTCTCCAGGCTCTGATTCCTCTTGTACATGTGCAGGTAGCTCTGCTGCAGCTGCTTCTGGTAGTGGATCACCTTCTCCTTCTCCTCCTTCCACGTCTGCCGCTCGTGCTGGAAGCTGCAGCTCATCTGCTCGTTGTTGTCGCGTTCCGCCTTCAGCTCGGCCCGCAGCCTCTCCAGCTGCCCCTGCAGGGCCTGGGCATCGTCCCCGCCTGGCCGGGGCCCCTCGCGGGCCTCGCTGAGCTGCTCACGGAGCGCGGCCAGCTCGGAGCGCAGCTCCAGGATCTCCTGCTCCAGCAGGTTCACCTTCTCCCGCAGCAGCTCCGACTCGTTCTTCTTGCGCTGCAGCTCGTTCTCGCACACCTCCAGCTCCATGGCCTTGGTGCGCAGCGACACCTCCAGCTCCTGGCTCTTCATCTCCAGCCCCTCCATCTTCAGCCTCACCTCCTTCAGCTGCGCCTTCAGGCTCAGGATCTCCGTGGTCTTGGTGGTGAGCTCGGTCTGCGACTCCTTCAGCTGCTGCTTCAGCAGCGAGATCTCCCCGGATTTCTGGCACACCTTGGGGGGTGAACACCTGAGTTAGGGCTGGACTGTGGGGAAGGGCCAGGGCACAGCTGGGGTGCATCACATGGAGACCCTGAATTTAACTTCCTTACCATTATTTCTTAGAATTATGGACCCTGAATTTAACTTTTTTACCACTATTTTTTAGAATTATAATTTAATTACAATTATTATTCATAATTAATATTATATTAAATAATATTGCATATTATTATTTATTTTTAATATTAATTTGTAATTAATATACCCGTTGGAATTTCCAGATTAACAGTGTTTGCTCAGCAGTACCAAGGAGTGAGTAAATTAACCTTAAGCAGAGAGTGGAATGTTTTACTGCTCCCTTACAAATGGCCGTGGCAAGCCCAAGGAATTCCCATTTCCTTAAGGGAAGGCAGCTTTACAGCTCCTGTGGGGCAGGAAAACCTGAGCTGGAGGCCAGGAATGCTGAGTTATTTTAATGCCTGAGGGGTTTGTGCTGTGCTTATTCCCTTGGGTGAGGGGAAGGGTTCAGGAGGGCAGTGAGAGCCTCAATCCCACTGCCCTGGGGACAGCCCGGGGCTCTGCTGGGATTTCACATCCATTTCCTACAGCCTGGGACGGGATGGGAAGGGCTGGGGGGTTTGGAGCTCTCCCCTTCCCCGTCCCCCTTGCTCCTTGTTCCCCCCTTTGCCTCTCACCTCCCACTGCGTCTCCTCCAGCGCCGGGGCAAAGCTGGTCTTCTCCTTCTCGTAGGACCTCAGCTTGGTCTCCAGCAGGTTCTGCTCCTTCATGAGTTTCTCCAGCTCCTCCCGCAGCTGCTGCTTCTCCTGCTGCAGCTGGAACACCTGCAGGTGCAGCACCTGCTGCGTCCGCTGCGTTTTCTGTGAGGTTTGCTTGAGTTTGCTGTTGCATTTCTGCTTCAGCCCCTCCAGCTCCTCCTTGCAGCGCCGCTGCTTCTCCTCGTAGGCCTGGCAGGAGCTGATTTCCTTCTCCTCGAAGCTCGACTGCAGCTCCTGCAGCTCGCCCTCCCTCTCCAGCAGCTTCTGCTCCAGCTCCTGGATGGTGGATTCATCCGTGGCGATGGGCGAGCGCACGCAGACGCTCTTCTCGGCGGCGGCGCGGTGCTGGGGGGCCTTGCCGGGGTTCAGGATCTTGTTGCCGCCGTCGGAGAAGGACATGGCCTTGAGGCTCATCATGTTGCTGTCCTGGATGATGGCACACTGCAGGATGTTGTGGGCAGAGCCCCCGAAGCGGCTGATGGGGCCCATGGGGGTGACCAGGGGCTCCAGCTGGTAGCTGCTGCTGGTGCTGTGCGTGGGCAGGCTGGACATGGAGTTGCGGCCGGAGTCGGACAGGCCCCCCGAGCACGGCAGCGGCCGCAGCTCCTGCTCCTTGCCCTTCTCCGGGGGGTGCAGCTGCTGGCCCAGGGGCCCCCCGCTCTCGGGGGACGAGTGCAGGATGGCCCCGGAGCGCGGCAGCACCGGCTTGAAGGCCGTGGGACGAGGCAGCGGCTTGTCCCCACCCTGCCGGGGAGAGCAGAGCGCGTCAGCACCAAGCGAGCCCCGCGAGTGTCCTCCCGCCCCTTCTGCCCCCCGGGATGGCACCCCCGCGGTGGGACAGTCCCCCCGGGGCTCCGGGGATGCTCGGGGGATGCTGCTGGCTAAAACTGCTGGGTTTGGAAATGAAAGGACCCAAATCAGCTCCTGTTGCCGATTCGAACTCCCAAAATCCGAGGTGGCAGAGTGCCCCCAGCTGCCCCTGCTCTCCCTGAGCTTCCTCAGGCTCAACCAACACAACCCCGTGGTGGCACCTGCAGACACTTTGGGGACAGTGGGACATCCCCCCCTTCCGGGGCCGCTTTTCCCCACTCACCACTTCCAGCTGGCTGGGGAAGGGCATCAGCTTCTGTGGCGTGGGCGTCCCGAAGTCCAGCCCGCTGGTCCCGGCGGGCACAGCCAGCTCCCCACCGCCCAGGGCGGTGTAGTCCGGCCGCTGCGAGCCGTGCGCCTTCTGGCTGACCTTGATGTAAAAGAAATCCTCATTCTTGCTGCTCTTGGAGCCGGACTTGTGGCCGGAGTCCTGCGAGAAGCCGAAGCGGAGCAGCCCGTCCGAGTAGCGGTTGAGCTTTTTCAGGTGCGAGGACTTGCGGAGCTTGTACTGCGAGGCGCGGCAGTGCTTGCTGTGGAAGCTGTGGCCGGAGATGAGGCTGCTGACGCTGCCCATGCTGCTCCCGGCGCCGCCAGATCATAGCAGAGCCCGCGGAGCGGCCGGGAGCGGCGAGCCTGGGGACACGGGGACACGGCGTCAGCAGGACAGGCCACGCGGGGGTGGCAGAGCCCCCGGTTTGGGGGTGTGAGGGTGGGAATTGAGGCTGGGGGGGCCTCAGCCCCGTCCCGAGCTCTGTGTGACAGGGACAGCGGCACTGTGATACGTTTATGAAAAATCCCTTCGCCAGGATTGTTCTCCTGAGGAGCTGAGAAACCTCAGATAAGAAGTGTAAGCAATGAACATTTTTTGCGTTTCCTTATATTGTAAGCTTTGTTTTAGTGATATGATAGGATTTGACGTTCTACAGGTGAAGAATCTCCTTGATCATTCCACATCAGCACTTGATTGAGGTTTTGATTGGCAACAGATAAACCTCTCGAGATGTGTTTGCTCTCTCTTCTGCAAGGGCCAAGCAGAAGGATTACAAACACAAATTTTTGTAAAATTTTAATTGTATAAAAAGGGTGAGCTGTCACTGTGATATTTTCATAAAAAATCCCCTCGCCAAGATTTTTCTCCTGAAAATATGAGATGCCTCAGAAAAGAAATGTAAACAATAACTATCTGCTGCTGTGGAATGTGGTCTGGAGGTTGCTTACCAACAGATGCGTCTTTGGTCTCATGTGAATTGTTTTTACTTGGTGACCAACCACAGCCAGCTGTATTGGACTCTCTGTCACGGGTTTTTATTATTCACTCCTTTCCTAGTCCTCTGATGTACTCCTTTCCCCCTATAGTTTAGTATAGCACTTTTTAAATATAATATAACATCATAATATAATAAATCAGCCTTCTAAGAAATATGGAGTCAGATTCATCTCTTCCCTCGTCCTGGGACCCTCAAACACATGGACAGGACAGCACCCAGAGCGCTGTGCCAGGGAGGCACATCCCATTCCCACATTCCCCATTCCCACATTCCCACACGTCCAGCTGGGCATCAGGGAAAGGCTCCTTTCCCCAGAGGGTGGTCGGGCACTGGCCAGGCTCCGGCTGTGCTTGGGACCCTCCTGGATAAAGCCAGGAAATGTCTTGAAATGGCTTTAATTTCTTATTAATTTAAATGGCTTTTATGAAATATTTAATTAATTTCAGTGGATTTTTAGCCATCCTGGATAAAGCCAGGAAAGTTCTCTAAAAACGCCCGGAGGAGGAGAAGGGATTTGTGGCGATTTTTGGGCGTAATCCCAACAGGCGCCCGCATCTCCTGCTCGTTCCTGGACAGATCCCGGCTCCACAGCCTCTCCCGCATCCCTGGCACTCCCGGATCCCTCTCCACTTCCCAGCGCTCCTCTTAACCCGCCTGGAAAGGGGCTCCGCGAGGCTTAATTAGCGTTAATGGCTGCGCGGCACTCGAGGGGACGAGAGGCCCTGCGAGCGCTGAGTGCTGCCATCAGAGGCACGCGGGGCTCTCGGCTCATCCGCTTTGTTGTGAGGGGAAAATATAAATAAAACAAAGCCCCAGCTCCTGGTGGCCTCCTCGACGCTCGGCTCTAATGGGGACGCAGATCCATCTCGGTAATTAGCGGTGAGAAGGAGGAAGGCACGTAAATAAAATGAGCTGGGTCCTGTTTGCGCTGCAGGAGGAGGGAGGGAAGGTTTCTGCTCCGTGCTGTGCTTGGAACAGCTCAGAGCTCCCACCGGGTGCTCCAGCCCTCTCCAGAGCTCCCCAGGCCGAGTGCCGGTGGTCCAAGCGGGAATCTGGGGGTTAAACTGGGGCTGGGAGAGGGTTGGGTGGTGGAGAGGGTGCAGGAACGCTGTGCCAGGGCCCTCACTGCCCTAAACTCAATCCCAGAGTCAGGCCTCTGTTTTCCCACCCCTCTTTTCCCACTTTCTTTTCCCACTCCTCTCTTTTCCCACACCTGTCTTTCCCCACTCCTCTCTTTTGCCATTCTTCTCTTTTCCCATCCCTCTTTTCCCTTTCCTCTCTTTCTCCCCTCCTCTCTTTTCCCATTCCTGTTTTCCCACCCCTCTTTTCCCACTCCCCTTTTCCTATTCCTCTCTTTTCCCATTCCTCTCTTTTGCCACTCCTCTCTTTCCCCACTCCTCTCTTTCCCCATTCCTCTTTTCCCACTCCTCTCTTTTCCCACTCATCTCTTCCTACTCCTCATTTTCCACTCCTCTTTTCCCACTCCTCTCTTTTCCCACTCCTCTCTTTTCCCTCTCCTCTCTTTTCCCATTCCTCTCTTTCCCCTCTCCTTTCTTTCCCCACTCCTCTCTTTTCCCACTCTTTTCCCACTCCCGGCTCCGGCTGCTCCCAGCCCCACCCGCGCTCATCCCTCCCTTTGTTTGTTTCCCTCTCCCCGTGCCCGAGGAGGGGGATGGATGAAGGGCAGGGGGAGGACAGACCGCCCGCCTAATCCCCAAATCCATTTTTGGGAGATTAAGAGAACCGAGAAAGGCCAGAGCGGCTGCCGGGACGCGGCTGATACGGCACAAGCTTTGGGAAGAGGAGGAGGGGAGGGATCGCTGCAGGGGACGCGATAATTGTCCCCAGAATTGTCCCCACAATGGTCGCCACAATTATCCCCACGATTGTCCCACCATTATCCCCACCATTATCCCCACCATTGCCCCCACCATTTTCCCCACCATTGCCCCCACCATTGTTCCCAGAATTGTCCCCACCATTATCCCCATCATTGTCCCCACCATTGTCCCCACAAGTGTCCCCCACCATTGCCCCCACCATTGTTCCCAGAATTGTCCCCACCATTATCCCCATCATTGTCCCCAGAACTGTCCCCACAGTTGTCCCCACAATTATCCCCACCATTTTCCCCACCATTTTCCCCACCATTGTCCCCACCATTTTCCCCAGAACTGTCCCGCACAGCCCGTGCCGGAGCCTGCGGGGGTGGAAGGCGCTGTGACAATGACACAGGTGCCACCTGCAGCCGCAGCGTCCCCGGGCAGCGCTCGGCGCTCAGCCCAGCCCCGGGCTGTGACACGTCCCTGTACATTTATTTTCCACCCGGGGGGTTTACACGCACCCAGGGCAGGGTGGGGGGGTTCGAGCCCCTAAAGAGGTCGGAGCTGCTCGCTGCCCCTCGGGCAGAGGCGCCCGCGGATTTTTGGGTGCCTGTGGGAGATGGGGGAGTGCGGAGGCAGCGCTGGGACTTTCCAGCCTCTTGGCAGGAGGCGTTTCCATCAACCCCAGCCCTCCCACGCACGCCCGAGAGGGCTGGGCACGTTTTTCTTCTCCTTCCCTCTTAAAAATGAACACTTGGAAAGCCGTGGGGGAGTTGGAATTCACGGGCAACGACGGCAAAAAGAGGAGCCAGCAGAGCTGAGAGGGCACAGGACCCCAAGAGGGGTCGGAGCTGTCCCCTTTCCTTTTTCATCACCTTTCCTGGGTGCAACACAGGGATGCTGATGCCCTGCAGGGAGCCAGAGGCGTTTGCTGAGCCACCAAACCCCGTCACTGTGGACATTCACACACGAGAGCTGCGTGGATATATCGGGGCTGGGTGTTTAAGGGGGCTGGCACTTTGGCTGGGTCAGAGCAGGCGTCTTGTGAACGTAAAAAAAGAAATGTAAATGATACCGAGAGTGCAGGGAGTGAAGGTGGGGGTGTCCCGTGGGCAGCTGTGGGTGCACAGCTGGAGAGCACTGCGGGCCTAGGGGTGTGACACGGCCAGAGGTCACAAAAACACAGAATTAAAAGAAAAAAACCTTTGAAATCGAGTCCAGCCTGTGACCTAAAAGTGAGAGGGGTGACTGGACCTGCGGGTGGGGTCATGGTGTCCTCGGTGGGTCCCGTGATGTCACCGCACAGCCCGGCTGTCCCCAGAGCCCCTGAAGGTGATTACCCCGATCAATTAGCGAGCGCAGAGAGCCACAGAAGACAGAGGTGTCCCTGTCGCTCTGTGCCTGCAGCAAACCAGCCTTTCAAGGGTCTTTTGTGGGCAGCACCGCGGTGGCAGCAGCACGAGCCCCGTGTCCCCTCCCCGAGCAGGTCTGTGACCCTCCCAGGGGCTTCCAGCTCCCCCCGGATCAGGGAATCCCGGAATGGCCACGGTGGCATCACCCAGAGCAGCGCCTGGCAGCGTGGGGGTCCTGGGGGGCAGATCCCGACAAACAGCACGGGCTGAACCCCGGGATGGGGGAGAACACGTGGATTCACCCACTCGGGCTTGTGCAGAGAGAGGGGGGAAAAAAATGAATGGCATCTCATCAGCGCAGTCATGCCTACCCCGCACGTGGGAGCGCCGCTCTCCCCTGCCTCCTTCCCCCCAGAATTCAGTCTTATCACCCTCAATCTTATCTCCCCCAGCCTTTGAAGCGTTCCCCCTTGCCCGCTGCAGCAGCAGCAGCAGCTTTCCCTGCGCCTTCCCGAGCAGGTTCCCCTGGCAGGAGCCGCGGTTTCCTCGCGGCCCCGCGGTGCTGCTCCGCTCCCTGCCGATCCTGTTCTTCTCCCCCCGCTCTGGAATGCCAGCGCTTCCTTCTTCCCCGCGAGCTCTCGCCCCCGCCTTTTCCCTCCTGGATTATTATTCATCCTCGCCGTGCAGATGCTCCCACACATTTGGGTGTTTGCTGGGAGATGCTCGGATAGCACGGAGCAGCTGCCAGGAGCCCGGCTCGGGGCTCAGCCTCAGCCTTCCTCTTCCCCTCGAGCGCTGCCAGGCGCTGTGCCCCTGTCCCACCCGGCCATTCGGGGCTTGGGGACACCGGGAATGTGGCCCTGGGGGGGAAAACTGGGAATTTCCATGGCGGAAAGTGCTACCTGGAGCATGTGAGTTGGGCTTAGTGAAGGGAACGGCTCAGTGCAGAGCTGGGAGCTGGGCTTGGGAGCTGCACTAAACCCAGACTGAGCGTCCAGGACCTCCAAACACCACTGAACCCCCCGGGCTGAGGCAACAAAGCCGCCCTGGGCTGTGTGAGAGCATCTGCCCAGCTCTGCTCCAGCTCCTGCTGCTCTCCCTGTCCCCAGCTGGGCCCGGGCTCCCCAAACCCTGATCTTTTAGCCCTCCAAATCCTGCTCTTTTTACTCTCCAAACCCTGCTCTTTTTAC